TAACACTTGGTTACAACAAAAGAGTGCTAACTCATCTACACATTAAGCCCTCGGCTTGAATATACATGTAATACATCAAAAAGGAACTAAAACCACAACAATCTGCTCGCCTCTAGCCTCCAAGCTATGACCTTGGAGTGACATGCTACCTGTACCTGAAAATGATATTCCCATATAGGGTGAGCCACACCAGTAGAAATACACTAAACCAACCATGAACAATGACTAAAAGATTAGCAATTGATAGATGCCAACATGATACATCCACATAAATCACATTTTTATGTCATCCGACTTATGAGTCCAAGTTACTTTTCATTTTCCTTTTTCAACAGATGAGCATATGTAACAACCTCATACTGTTTACTATGATTAATGACTGATCGATTACCGATAATCACGATTACTGTTAAACGAAACGGATAATGACTGATAACTGACTGATAATTGAACTGATTAAAAGTACTGAACTGACTGACTGAAACTGGAAACCGAATTGATTGAGTATATGTTAGTTAAATTGCATTATATCTGTTTGACTGTATGATTATCTGTTCATGTTCATATGTTTAAACTGCTAATTGAAGGCCTTATCGGCGGCCGAATCTGAAACCGATTAGTGTTTTGTGACCCTCATAATTTATGTGATTTTATAGTAATAATTATCTGAAAATTGATTAGGTATGATTAATTAGATTAAATTAAGCTAATTAAAGAGTTGGACTTAATTACCCATTTTGCCACTTAAGTGGCCCAACTACTTGGATCATCTTTGATTCTCATTATGCTCACACATACACATTTCATCAGCTCATTTTGAGCACACCCACCGACTAGAGAGAAGAGAGGTAGGGAGTTAGAGTGAATTCACCTGTGAATTCCTTGAAAACTTGAAGAATTGCTTGGTAATTGAAGTGTATTTGCATATTTGAGTTTCCTCACTCCTAATTCTACAAGACTAAGGTAGGACATCCATCTTCTTGTTGCTGTTCTTGAGGTTCATTCTGCATGATTCATGTTATTTTGTAGAGCTAAGTTATGATTTGGTTCATTAATGATGGATTGAAGATCATTTCTTGCAATGCATGTTGGTATTGTTGCATTTTGAGGTTGAGTACATGGACATTAGTGCATGCATGCTCATATTGTTGTTATAGACCATGTTACCAACTGGTTTGGAAAAGAAATGAGCCCATTTGAACAAGCTTTGGAAGATTTAATTTGGTTTAAAAAACTCATGCATGACATGTTTTGAATGTTGTTCTTGAAAATGGGTTTTGAATATGGTTTTATTACTCACCTTGGGGGCTTGAATTCATAAATTGAGCTTTTGAAACTTGTTATACATTGAATTTAATGATGTTTTCCAGAATTTGGGCCCAAGGAGGTCGAGTTTTGGAGTGGTAGAATGGCTTGGTTTGAGCTTGGGAGGCAGATCTGGAAATTCCAGATTTGGCTTCCCGCTCGAGCGAAGAATTCCCCGCTCTGAGCGAGCACCTTTGTCCAGGGCTCCGCTCGAGCGAACATCGAGCGAATCGGATCGCGCGCGTAATTTCAGCATCCAGTATTTTACTTGTTTTGCAGACCGCTCGAGCGAAGGATTCCTCGCTCGAGCGAAGCCTTTGATTTTGGACTTACGCCTCGAGCGTAGAAAGTCTCGCTCGAGCGAAGCCCTATTTTCAGCAAACTTTGCGAAATGTTTTCTAAGTGTATTTTTTGCATCCCTCATCCCATCCTAGGCATTCTTAGGCCTAGTTTAAGACATTTAGATGAGGATATCGTTGTAGAAACACCACCGAGGCAAATTAGGGATTTAGTTTATGATATTTCCCAACTGTGTAGCTTAGTGTGTGTTCAACCTGTGAACTGTGTAGGGTTGGCATCTGGGGAGACACGCTCTACGATACTGTAGCCCAGAACTCTGTGAGTACAATTGTGTAAAGATATGTTCAACTGATATCTTTGAAATACTGAACTGAACTGTTTATTGAACTGGTATTACTGAATGAATGTATGTCCTTTATTTCTGAACTGTACTGTGGCATCCTTAGTACCCTACGGTTTACTGTTACTGTTTATGACTATGTGTTAACTTGGAAAGCTGTAAGCCCGTAGGGCATTTTTGCTTTTGTTGTTAACATGTGTAATACTTTTGTAATGAAACTCTGATGAATAGAAGAATGTGGTTATTTCATTTGTCAATGAATGTCTTATTTGATGGGTTTAATGTTATTATTTTGAGGGCGTTATAGTGCGGAAAAATCTCACATCGGTCTGTGAGGGACTGCTTTCCCACCTTATAAGTTGATTGCCTCCTCTACCTAGCATAAGGCCATTTCTCTAGTGGAGGAAGAACAAAACCGTGAGGCGGGTTTACGCCAAAGCGGACAATATTGTGCTAGGCACGGGGTGGGGGCTTTATTTGGCGCCGTCTGTGGGAACTCCCTCCGGCACGCGTGATAGAAAAATCCCGTGTCGGAGCCAGACAGCTGGGGGCTAATGTAAGGGGAAATCCTACATCAGTCTGTGAGGGACTGCTTTCCCACCTTATAAGTTGATTGCCTCCTCTACCTAGCATAAGGCCTTTTCCCCAGTGGGGGAGGAACAAAACTGTGAGGCAGGTTTACGCCAAAGCGGACAATATTGTGCTAGGCACAAGGTGGGGGCTTCATTTGGCGCCGTCTGTGGGAACTCCCTCCGGCACGCGTGATAGAAAAATCCCGTGACTAATGTGAGGCGAAATCCTACATCGGTCTGTGAGGCCCTGCTTTCCCACCTTATAAGTTGATTGCCTCCTCTACCTAGCATAAGGCCTTTTCCCCAGTGGAGGAGGAACAAAACCGTGAGGCGGGTTTATGCCAAAGCGGACAATATTGTGCTAGGCACGGGGCGGGGGCTTCATTTGGCGACGTCTGTGGGAACTCCCTCCGGCACGCGTGATAGAAAAATCCTGTGTCGGAGTCAGTCAGCTGGGGGCTAATGTGCGGGGAAATCCCACATCGGTCTGTGAGGGCCTGCTTTCCCACTTTATAAGTTGATTGCCTCCTCTACCTAGCATAAGGGCCTTTTTCCCAGTGGGGGAGGAACAAAACCGTGAGGCGGGTTTACACCAAAGCGGACAATATTATGCTAGGCATGGGGCGAGGGCATCATTTGGTGCCGTCTGTGGGAACTCCCTCCGGCACACGTGATAGAAAAATCCCGTGTCGGAGTCAGTCAGCTGGGGGCTAATGTGCGGGGAAATCCTACATCGGTTTGTGAGGGACTGCTTTCCCACCTTATAAG